CTCCACGAAGCATAAAAGGTCAGACGCCTGGGATGAGAGCCCCAAGAATCCACAAGTCACGCCCTGGCTTCAAATCCTGAGGTGTTTCCGGCTGTGCGGGTGGCCCGACCCGCTGCCCAGCGGCTGCCTGGGGCTCGTGTCCAGTGCAGAGGCAGCTCTCCACCTCCCATGCCCTATCCCTTGTCGTGGAGACTGATTTGCTGGGGCCGGGGAACCTGGATGTGACATAAGGGGCCGAGCAATTCCAACACAGCCAGGTCCCTGCCCCCCACAACCCAGAAACCCTCCAGCTCGACGCCGGCCTGCATCCCACAGAAAGGAGAGCCACGTGCCCGGCGCCCTCACCGGCTGTGTGAGGAGGGCTCCCCAAACCCCACGCCCCCTCCCAGCTCCTCTCGGCACCAGCTGGCCTCCACGTCCACTTCTGGTTCCAAATGTCCAGGGAAGAACTGCTCTCCTGCCATCTTGCCTGCCTGGCTCCTAGTTCAAGTTCAAATTCAAGCACAGTTCATATTTGTGGGGCATCCAGGCTTTCCTCTCAACAACCCCATGAATCGGGTACTACGATCATCCCTTTTTACATCTGAGGAGACAGAAGCACAGAGAGGCTGAGTCAATTTCCCAAGATCACACAGCCTGGACGTGAGTTAAGGTATCGTAAAAGGAAGACTGGACATAGAAAGCCATCACGTGATTGAAAATCACTCTTCAATTCTGGGTTTGCCTGAGACGGAATTTCCTTTTCACCCCAAAAATCTTTGGCAGGCTCTCAACCGCAGACCAAAGCCATGTTATATCTGTTGCCTCTGACACAGCCCCTTCTGGATGGAAGTCACACCTGCGCGGGCTTTGTCCATTTCTGTCTTTCCCGAAGGCCTTTCCTCTAGCCCAGGGCCAGTTCCTGAGCCCCCACTGTGTGGCCTGGGCTCTTCACCACCACCCCCCCAGCACACTGGACCTCACCAATTCCAAAGCCAAGAAGAGATCCCCAAGTGATCCCAGGGCCTCCTCGGCCAGCCCCGGAATTCCATCCTCCCACCGGACACACCGGGCCTCAGAAGACCCTGGCGGCCTTCCATGGGCACCGCTCTCTTCCGGCCGGCGAGGTGTCTGCACCAGGTCCTCAGAGCTCTGCTGGTGACATTCAGTAGGATTTAGTGTCTCATTTTCTTCCCATTACCCTCGTGTTACCAGCCACTGTCTCCAGGCAGCGTTCGCATCTGATACCCTGCACGTCGTCAGCACTCAAAACCCACATTCCACGTGTAATTTATGTCCACCAGGATGCAGAACTGCATCGCCGAAGGAGCCTGGCAGCTCAGAAGGCCGCCTGAGGAAAGGAAAGCGGCTACCGCGCTCAGGTGATAGGATTGGGCCTTTTAATCAAACATTGTCCTTTAACATGATATTTTGTGGCAAGGAATAGAAACCGGAGGGTGAGAGACCCGTGTCCTAAAGCCCCCAGTTTGCCACGGAGCCGTCACTTTTTGTGACATCTGAGGCCCGAGGCCCCATTAGGTCCTCGCTCACAGAACCGTCTCTGACTCGCTCTGTCGTCCAAACAGACAGAAAGGCCCTCGGGGACAGGACCCCTTTCTCACTCATGCCCGGCTGAAGAATATGGAGAGGTGTTTGAGAACCACCTCGAATTTCCAGAAAGCCATCTTGGGGGCAAACCCTTGAAATGCTCTGAGAAGCTTGTGGGTTTCTTCTCGACTTCAACGAAAACATTTAGAAAATTGTTTACCCTTTCCCACCCCAGCTGCCCCGGACCCCTTTAACTTCAAACAGGTCCAGGGCAGAAGGTACAGGAGCCGCCATTGACCCCCGGAACCAACCAGTGCATTACTGGGAAGCAAGTGGGGTGGGAACCAGTCTTATAAAAACCAGGACCCCAGCAGTCACATTCTCATGCAAAGCAAGGCTCCTGTCCCATGGCTTCTGTCCCTCTGTGAGCTCCTCCCTCCTTCTGACCTAACACCCTAGACAGGGCAGCTGGAGCAAAAGCAGGAGGACGCAGGCTCAGTGTAAAGACAATCCGCGCCTGCCTCTGTGCAGACCCCCACCCAAGCAGGAGCCCCTCGGAATGACAACAAAAACGTTTTTCTTCCGCGCACTTGGCATTCTCCAACTGGGTTATTTGTAAAAGTGTCCTTCACGGCTCGGGGGGCGCAAAAACAGTTCTGGTAAGACCAGGGAAGGTGGCCGCAGAGCTGAATCCCGGGGAATCTGCGGGCTGGCCGTCCTCCTGAAGGAGGCTGGGAACCAGCTTCCGACAGGAAGGACAGGCTTTGCTGCTAATCCCCCAGTTTCTACCCACCCCCACCCCCCCGCCCGCCGTAGGTGTCGGTATCAGCACCCACTGCAGAGCTTCCAGCCCCTCCTCCAGGAAGCCCTCCACCCCAGGCCTCCTCGCCCCGCAGTTAATGCCTGCAGAGGGAACAAAATGCTCTCAAAGGGCTCAACCCTGGGCAGTGGTCCCCAGAGCTCAGAGGCTCCAGCTACTGGGATGCTGGGAACCCGAAAGGAGCCTACAGCCTCGGCCTCTTCTGGTTGGAAAAGAAATGGGGCCTCCCCCAGGAGTGGCAGGACCCCTGGACAACAGAGGTAAACCTAGCCCCTTGGGCCTGATGAGCTGCCAGTGGTGTGAATGGGGGGCATGGCTGCCGTATACTGTGTACCCACTACTCACAGGGCACCTTGTAGGCACTTGCAACTCCTGTTAATGCACTGGGTCCTCCACAGCTTCCCTGGCAGGGGGTGGTCCGTGGCACCCACCCTCATCTCACAGATAAGGAAGGGAGGCACCAGGCACCATCCATGCCAGATGACCAGTAGCTCTCTGTACCCCAGGGTAGCCTGGGCAAGTCGCTTCTGGAACTCCAGGCTTCTCCAGCTGTGCAGCTTCACTGGACCATGACTCTGGGCTTCTATGAGGGTTCACACCTCATTTTTGCCCACACCCCACTCCTGGGCCCCTTAACAGAAGCGGCTGCACAAGGTCCCCCGTCGGGGCAGGCACTACTGCATGACCCACCTTTCTGGGGGGTTGTGTCCATCCCTATTCCTTCCCCAAATGTCCACATGCAGCCTGGCTCCAGACACCCGGAGTGGGCAGAGATGGCAGCCATGCCTGCATCCCCCTCCCTCTCCCAGAGAAGACATCACCAATCGATCCAACACAGGGTTCGGGCAGACAGCACCCATCTATGGCAGCAACAGACGCCAGATCCAGATCCTTCTAGCTCCAGGGCCAAGCCCCAAGCCAGCACTCTCACGGCAGCAGGACTCGGAAATTGCAAAAACACAAACAGAACAGAAATGTCCGACAAGGGAAACACGGTTCAAAGTTGTGCCCGCTTCAGGCACTAAAACGCAGGTTTTTGAAGCATACATACCTCTTGTCATTGCAAATGCTCCTGCAATAATGTCAAGTGAAATGTATAGACACACGTGGACAAAACAGCAGAGTTAGATACATGGAAATGTTTAGACTATCTCCAGATTTCCCTTAGTTTCTCCAAGACACAAAGCAGAACTGGCCCCCTAACATGCAAGAACCACTGCAAGATGAAAATGCAGAGCCCCTTGTGCAACAATTATTAAGCATTTCAAGTCAACAACAGAGCGCGAAACCAAGCACGGGGCCCTTCGGAACTCGAGGCCCCGTGTGACTGCACAGATCAGACACCTGTGAGGTCAGTCCTGACACCAACTGCTTCCTGCCTCAGAGCAGCCCACAGGCTCTTCCTTCTCACTGTTCCTTCTCCTTCCTAATCCTCTAAGCCTCAACTTAAATGGTGCCTCCTGGGAAGGACCTTCTCTGGCCGTCCATCTCAGGTAGGCAGGCCCCCCTGCTGGGCTGTGCTGGGCCCTGGATGTCCCCAGGGACAGGCTGTATCCTGGATGCGTCTCATTTCTGGGAGAGCATATCCTGAGCCCCACACCTGGCAGTAAAGGCCCCCAGGCAGTGCGATGGAGAAGGGCGACATTTCTTTAAAAACAGCACGAGTCTTTGAAGCAGCAAGTGCCCGAAAACCAAAGGGGAGAATCAAGAGGTGGAAAAATACCTACAGCAAAGAAAATCACCTGCGTGGGGGGCAGGAGATCAACTGAACTTGGTGCAACCAAAGAAAGCTCCCGTTCAGGATGTGTTCACAACCTAGGTTTCCACGGCATGCCGGGGTATGGGGGTAGGGGGTAGGGTTATTACAGCACAGAGTCCATGCGAATGGGATGCAAGGATAAAAATGAATTACAGGGACTTCCCTGGTGGTCCAGTGGTTAAGAATCCACCTCCCAATGCAGGGGACGCAGGTTCGATCGCTGGTCGGGGAACTAAGATCCCACATGCCGCAGGGCAACTAAGCCCACGCGTTGCAACTACAGAGCCTGTGTGCCCTGGAGCCCGCAGGCCTCAACTAAAGTGAAGCCCGTGCGCCACAACGAAAGATCCCACATGCCACGACAAAGATCCCACGTGCCGCAACTAAGACCCAACAAAGCCAAAAATAAATATTTTTTTAAAAAATGAATTATAAATTCCATATCAACGCTCATGAAAAAGCAGAAAAGCAAAGACAGGAGCTCCCAGGAGGGCCCGAGGTACTACAGCGGTGGGAGCACTTGGAAGGGGCGGGAGGAGAGGAGGATGTGTCTGCTGGGAACCTCCTTTCGCACACTCTCTAACACCATTGCTCTTGTTACAATAAACACAGTTTTGATTTAATAGCCAGCTTTTAGGGTGCGATTGCGCGTGCCGGCAGTGCGCTTGTTACTTGGGGTCTCTGCCCATCTGGCACGACCTCGTCTTACAGATGGGAACCTGAGTTCCAAGGTCGTTCGCCCATCAGGCAGCAGAGCCCAGATCTGACCTGAATCCCGGCCGCTCGGCTGTCGGCGCTCAGAGCCCGGGCCGCGTGAACCCCTCCCCAAGGAAAGCAGATCGTGGGGCACCCAGGCTGGTGGCTGCCCCTCCCACCAGCCGCTCCCTGGCTCACCTGCCTTGCACGTCTGGCCGTTGTCCTGAAGCTGCACACCGGTGGGGCAGGCGCACGCGTAGAAGGGCTCCCTCGGGGACAGCAGGCACAGGTGGGAGCAGCCGCCGTTGTTCTCCTCACATTGCGTGTGGTCTGGGGAGACAGGGCAGGCGGGAGGAGGTTCCGGAAGGGCCCTAGACACCCACGCCCACCACTCCCAGTGTGCGCATCCTACCCGCCCTGCCCCCTCTTCCCGATCTCCTACCACAAGAAACCCCATCTTCTTCAGGGTCCCTCAAAGGACACCTCCTCTGCGGAGACTGTCCCCAGCCCTCCCTGGCAGGATCCCAGGACCTGCCTGCGTGGTAAGGCGAGGCCCTGGGTCGGGGGGGTCCTGGAGCAGAGGCCTGTCTTATCTCTGTGACATGCCTGGACCCCATGGGCTCTGCACAGAAGCTTGCTGGCCACACCTGGCCACTGGGCCGAGCCTCTGGTAGCTGATGACAATGCTTTTCATTCTCCCAAGCCCTTGCACAACCAGCGTGCAAATGAACTGACAAATACTCCTGGCATCTCACTCTGCCCAGGACAGGGTGGAGGGTGGTACCCATGAAATGTAAAGCATTAAACCCACCTGCGTGTAAGGACCACGATGTTCTCCCCAGAAAACAACTCCAGAGAGCCCCACCCCTGGGAGCCCACTCTTAAGTACAAAGTTGGAAACTTCAACAGCACCGTGGCCAGAATCCGCCCCGCTCCGTGGTCCCCATGGGAACCAGTGGGGTCCCCGTAAGAACAGGTGGTGGTCCTCGTGGGAGGGGGCGAGCCCGAGGCCCTGGCCCTGCTTGCGGGCTGCGGGTCACAGGAGCTTTCCACCATCAGGGACCCCCTGCCACGACCCCATGGGGACCCCAGGTTGAGAACTCTGACTTGGAGCAGATTTTTCATGAATAAACACGTAACTTCCACTGGGCCTTGAAAACAGGGCAACCTTCCTTGGGAATCCCTCTGCCACCCCCGAGGACCACTGGGGCATGACCCTGCCTGAAGCAACCCCGACACCAGCTCTGCAGAGGGGCCTCTCCCAGCCTGCCCCACCCCCAGCCTGGCCCCGACTTACAGTAAGGCTGCCGCTCTGGGCTGAGCACTTGGATATCCATGGGCGAGTAGAGAGCACTAAGGATCTCCTTCCTCTTGTCTCCAGTCCTCTTGTTACAGGCGTGGATGGAGCGGGTCTGCCAGTCTGTCCAGTACAGAGTGTCTCCAGAGAGCGTCAGGGCAAAAGGGTGCGTCAGACTGCCCTCCACGACCTTCTGCCTGTGGGGGGGCGGGGAGGCGGGTGGAGGAGCCGTCAGGGGGTCCCCGTTGTGCTCCCCATTTTGAAAGCCTTCCATTGTCACTGCTGACCCATCGACATCACACAGGACAACAGGAGCGGTGATGGAGCAGTGTGAGACCAGGCCAGGGCATCCCAGGAACCCTCTGCCAGGGTGCGCAGGGCACCTTCCAGACCCGGCCAGCCTCCCGCCACCCCTGACAGTGACGTGGGGGGCCCTGCACACCCAGCTGCTCCCTGTCTAACCCGTTTCCAGAACGGGGGCTGTTGCCAAAGTGCCCCACAGAGAAGAAAGAAGGAAGAAAAGCGGCAGGGAGGACGCCACACCTGGTGACAACAAGCTGATGAGAAGCACACCTGTCCTGCCTGATGCTTTAACAACGTAACACAAATTGGACCAAAGTTACTGATACTTGCTCATTCCTATGATGTCAATAATTTATATTATCAAAGCAAATTAAACTTGTATCAGTGTTAAAAAAAAAAAAGCTATTCTCATCTGTGTATTTATGATACCCAGCAAACGAGAACTTGTTTTTAATGCGATTATGGACGACGATAATAGAATCGTAATTCACACAGCTGGTAGTATGCGATTATCTGGTTTAATGACCCGCACCCCACTATAGGCTTCCTGAGGTGGACACTGTGGATGGGTGGTCACCATCGTGTCCTCAGTCCCTGGTACAGCACTGAGGAGGGAGTCACACTCAAAAGGTACCACTGAACAACCAAAAATCATACACTCGCGCTCTTTCCCAGCCTGACCTGACATTGCCTCTTCCCTGTTTTCTTCATGTCACTTTTTAAAAAGATTTATTGACTAAAAAGGATAAGATAATACTATGAACAACTATATACCAACAAATTAGACAACCTAGACGAAATGGATAAATTCCTAGAACCATACAATCTTCCAAGGCTGAATCGTGAAGAACCAGAAAATCTGAATAGTTACCGATAATTAGTAATGAAATTGAATCAGGAATCAAAAAACTTCCCCAAAACAGAAGTCCAGGTCCAGATGGCTTCATAGGTGAATTCTAACAAACATTTAAAGAAGAGTTAATACCTATCCTTCTCAAATTATTCCAAAAAATAGAAGAGGAAGAACAGAATAGCTATTACCAAAAAGACAAGAAACGATAAATGCTGGCAGCGATGTGGAGAAAAGGGAACCCTCGTGTACTGTTTGTGGGAATGTAAATTGGTGCAGGCACTATGGAGAACAGCACGGAGGTTCCTTAAAAAACTAAAAATAGAACCACCATATGATCCAGAAATCCCACATCTGGGTATTTTCCCAAAGAAAATGAAAACACAAATTTGAAAAGATGTATGTACCCCTGTGTTCACTGCAGCATTATTTACAATGGCCAAGATATGGAAGTAACCTAAGTGTCTGTCGAGAGATAAACTGAATGGATAAAAAAAAGATGGTGTGTCTGTGTGTGTGTGTGTGTGTGTGTGTACACACACACACACACACACACACACACACACAATGGAACACTACTCAGCCATAACAAAGAATGAAATCTCGTCGTTTGTGGCAACATGAATGTACCTGGAGAGTATTATGCTAAGTGAAAAAGGTCAGACAGAGAAAAACAAATACCATATGATTTCACTTATATGTGAAAATCTAAAAAACAAAAGAGAAACAGATTCATGGATACAGAGAACCAACAGGTGTTTGCCAAAGGGGGCGGGTAGGGGAACAGATGAAACAGATGAAGGAGATCAGAGGTACAAACTTCCAGCTACAAGATAAATAAGTCATGGGGGACTTCCCTGGTGGCTCAGTAGTTAAGAATCCACCTGCCAATGCAGGGGACGTGGGTTCGAGCCCTGGTCTGGGAAGATCCCATATGCCGTGGAGCAACTAAGCCCATGCACCACAACTACTGAGCCTGTGCTCTAGAGCCCATGAGCCACAACTACTGAGCCCATGTGCCACAACTACTGAAGCCCGCACGCCTAGAGCCCATGCTCCACAACAAGAGAAGCCACCACAATGAGAAGCCCGTGCACCGCAACGAAGAGTAGCCCCCCGCTCACCGCAACTAGAGAAAGCCTGCACGCAGCAATGAAGACCCAATGCAGCCAAAAATAAATAAATTTTTTTAAAAAATCAAATCTTAAAAAAAAAAAATAAGTCATGGGGAAGTATGTAACGTACACATAGGAAATACAGCCAATAATACTATAATAACTTTGCTTGGTGATGGGTGGTTAACTGTTCTCATTGTGACCATTTCATAATTGAATCACTATGTTTTACACCTGAAACTAATATAATATTGTATGTTAATTATAACTCAATAAAAAATATTAGGGCTTCCCTGGTGGCACAGTGGTTGAGAGTCCGCCTGCCGATGCAGGGGACGCGGGTTCGTGCCCCGGTCCGGGAAGATCCCACATGCCGTGGAGCGGCTGGACCCGTGAGCCATGGCCGCTGAGCCTGCGCGTCCGGAGCCTGTGCTCCGCAACGGGAGAGGCCGCAACAGGGAGAGGCCCGCATACCGCAAAAAAAAAAAAAAAAAAAATTAAAACCCAGACTCATAGATACAGAGAACAGAACTCAGAGATACAGAGAACCCCTGCTTCCAGGGGAGGGGGGTGGGTGAAATGGGTACAGGGGATCAAAAGGTGCCAATTTACAGTTATAAGATGAGTAAGTCCTGGGGATGTAACATACAGCACGGTGACTACAGTTAACAATATTGTACTGTATACTTAAAAGCTGCCAAGAGAGTGGATCTTAAAAGTTCTCATCACAAGGAGAAAAAAATGTAACTCTCTATAGTGATGGATGTTAACTAAACTTATTGCGGTCATCATTTTGCAACATACACATATAACAAATCACGACGTCATACACCTAAAATGAATACAATGTTATGTGCCAATTATATCGCAATCAAAAACCAAAAACAGGACTTCCCTGGTGGCGCAGTGGTTGAGAATCCTCCTGCCAATGCAGGGGACACGGGCTCGAGCCCTGGTCCGGGAAGATCCCACATGCTGCGGAGCAACTAAGCCCGTGCGCCACAACTACTGAGCCCACGCTCTAGAGCCCGTGAGCCACAACTGCTGAGCCCACCTGCCACAACTACTGAAGCCCATGTGCCTAGAGCCCGTGCTCTGCAACGAGAAGTCACTGCAATGAGAAGCCCGCGCACCTCAGCGAAGAGCAGCCCCCACTCACCACAGCTAGAGAAAGCCCGTGCGCAGCAACGAAGACCCAACGCAGCCAAAAATAAATTAATTAAATAAATAAATTTAAAAGAAAACAAAACCAAACATACAAAAAATGTCTTGAGGTGAAATTCACATATCACCAAATCAACCATTTCAAAGTGACTAATTCAGGGCTGCATAGCACATTCACCATGTGCAGCCATCACCACCAGCTGTTTCCCAAACATTTCCACCCCCACAGGAAAACCCTGAATGTACCAAGCAGGTACCCCTCGTCTCCCCTCCCCCCGCAGCCCCTGGAAACAGCCGTCTGCCCTCTGTCCCTAAGGATTCGCCTGTTCTGGGCTTTTCACATCCATGAAGTCACACGATATGTGGCCTTTGGTGTCCGGCTTCTTTCACTTAGCAGCATGTTTTCAAGGCCCATCCGTGGTGTGGCATCCACCCGTGCCTCGTTCCTTGCTATGGCTGAGCACCGCTCCATGGCACAGATATGCCACAATCTTGCTTATCCATCCGTCGCTCATCTGCTGGTGGACATTTCAGCTGTTTCTACCTTTTAGCTATTGTGGACGCTCCTGCGATGGATATTCGTGTACAAGTATTTACTTCGATACCAATTTTCAATTCTTTGGGGGCATAAACCTAGGAGCAGAATTGCTGGATCCTACGTTAATTTGATGCTCACACCCTGAGGAGCCATGAAACTGCTTTGGATGTAGGGCTCTTTAGCCTTTGCGATCCCACTGAGAATGAGCATTCTACATTTTGCTATAAAATAGATGCAGATGCCACCCCAGACCCTGCTTGGGTGGGATGTCAGACATGGTGTGTGCACTGTTATGGACCTCAGCTCTGAAAAGGCCTGCAGGCCTCAGGCCCCCAGGGTTTCAGGTCTGAGACCACTGGCCTGAGTTGGGAAGGATCAGCCAACGCCCAGCTGGGACTGGCCAGGGCCCCGTGGGGAAGGTGGGGGCCCAGAGCCAGGCGGAACTTACCGGAAGGAGCCGTCCAGGTTGGCGCGGTGGATGAAGCTGAGCTTGGCGTCCGCCCAGTACAGCTTCTGCTCCTCCAGGTCGATGGTCAGCCCGTTGGGCCAGTAAATGTCTGAGTCCACAATAACCTTCCGGGTGCTGCCATCCATCCCTGCCCGTTCGATCCGGGGTATCTCTCCCCAGTCTGTCCAGTACATGTACCTAACAAGGAGGACAGAAGCACGATGAGAAAAGCTCGTGTTTGTTTCGTTTTTGATTTCTGTCTATATGAATGCAAGCATATGAAACAGAGACAGTGAATTTGCCCTGAAATCTCGCCCAATGTTCCGGGCCAAGGGTAACATTACTTCCGATTTGCTTTCTAAGCAGTCAGTAATATATTAATTTTTTCTTTTTTTTTGGCTGCACTGCTTGCAGAATCTTATTAGTTCCCCAACTAAGGATTAGAACCCAGGCCCTCGGCAGTGAAAGCGCAGAATCCTAACCACTGGACCACCAGGGAATTCCGTGTAATATATTAATTTTTAATCAAAGTTGGATAATCAAATATGCTTGTTTCCACTTGTTCTCATTTAGCAACATATTCTAGGTATCCTCTCCTTACTAGTCGAAACCCTCCTTGTTCTTTTAATGGCTATAGAGTACGGTAAATTATTTAAGTGAAACCACTTTGAACGTTTGCGTTGCTTCTGAATTTTTGCTACTATGAAAACGCTGTAAATGAACTTCTAAAAGGCAATTAAAATATGTAAAATGGAATATTATTCAGTGCTAAGAAGAAATGAGCTATTAAGCCATGAAAAGACACGGAGGAACATTAAATGCATGTTACTAAGTGAAAGAAGCCAACGTGAAAAGGCTACACATTCTGTGGTTCCCGCATACGACACTGTTGAAGGTAAAACTATGGAGACAGAAAAAGATCAGGGGCTGCCAGGGACTGGGGCGGGATATGCACTGACGGAGCACAGAGGATGTGTAGGGCAGCAAAACGATTCTGTAGGATAATACAACCATGGATACGTGACATTGAATCTTTGTCAAAAGACAAAGGTTAAATGTACGTGGGTATACAGGAACTCTCTGTACCTTGCCCTCAATTTATCTGTGAGCCTAAAACTGCTTTAAAAAAATGAAGTCTGGGGCTTCCCTGGTGGCGCAGTGGTTGAGAGTCCGCCAGCCGATGCAGGGGACGCGGGTTCGTGCCCCGGTCCGGGAAGATCCCACATGCCGCGGAGCGGCTGGGCCCGTGAGCCACGGCCGCTGGGCCTGCGCGTCCGGAGCCTGTGCTCCGCAACGGGGGAGGCCACAACGGTGAGAGGCCCGTGTACCGCAAAAAAAAAAAAAAAAGAAGTCTGTTAAAAACAACAATGCGTAGGTGAGGTATTCACTGAAACATACCAGTTATTCCTGGGTGGGTTGTGGGTGAGTCAGCTCTGCTGAACCATGTTCTTAGAGTTTCCAGCCAGAAACCACCGCCTCCTTAGAGGCTTCCTTATTTGATGTCCCTTCACATGAGCAGAGATAATAGGCAGGCATCTGGGCTGATGGGTTCAAACCCCACCACGGCCCAGATGTCCAGGCGGGGCGCCCTCTCAGCATGGCTCTTCAGTGGAGAGCAGAGGGAACCGCACCAGCCTTGAGGACATGAGTCCCTTGGGTTTCTGGCCCAGTCGGCTGGGGACAAGCCACGGGGCACAAGGGGTGGCAGACCTGTTTCACTTTACTTTGTCCACCGGTGTCTCTCCGCAGAGAAGGGGGACAGTGCCTGGATTTCCCTTTGAGGAACCCCGCCTCCACTCGAGGTTCATGAACCTCTCCAGGTGGTATGTCTGCTCCCACACCCCCTCCTGGAGTGGGCACAGGTCAGTCCTGAGCAATCAACAAACCCCATTACCCTCAGCCTTAGTGGCTGCTTAGAGACAGGCAGATGGGAGTCGGCCTGCAAGGGGAGGGCAGGGGGCTCCTGGGAGCCACCTGTGCCCTTGTGGGAGGGTCTGCCAGGGAAGACAGCGCAAGCCCAGATGGGGAGAGGCGGGGCCGTGGGGCAAGGTGGGAGCGAAAACAGGCCACTTCTCAGACGCCCTAGTTGCTTGGGCCCACAGGCTTGCTTCCCTTCGAGCTGCTTCTATTACGGATCAAGTCCCCTCCCCGCACTCCCTCTCCACTCCCGCTCTCAGCCTCCACATCTTCAGAGGTAAAACTTCATGCCTTTCAGCAAAGCCTGAGCTGCCGTCCACCAGGGACCAGCAAAGTCATCAGGGACGTGGGGAGAACAGGCCCAGCCTTGCCCTTTGGTGGGGGTCTCTGTCCAGCAGGAGAGAGAAAATGACACGCACACAAGCTGCCACTCCCCCGAGATGGGAGCTCCGAAGGCCACCCCCATCCACGGGGCCATGGGGCCTTCCCAGAGGGGTGTCACTTCGGAGCTGGCACTGTCGCCACCTGCTAGACGGGTGATGACAGATGATGATAATGAGCTCCTGGGGGCTTCACGTGCGGCGAGGGGCCAACCACACCCGGCCATCGTCACCAAGCTCCCCTGCTCTCCAGCCCCCATGGGGACAGAGAACTTGGAACACCTCTCCAACAAGCTCTCCACTCTGCTCTCCACTGAAGAAGTGACGCAGGGACTATTCCCATCGGACAGGTGAGAAAACCGAGGCTCCGGAAGGCTGCGCTGCCCCAGGTCACAAGCTCTGGGAGCACAACACGGTTCTCCGGTTGAGGTCAGAGCCTGGCCGCTGTCTGACCCACCCCCCAGCCTGGGGTGGTGGCGAACTTCTCCGGGCACCCGAGGCTCTCAGCAAAGGCTCCCGCCGGCCTGGTGCAGGCACCTTTCTCTCCCTGTGCTTTTCCCACCCCCAGCAGCCTGGAAAGAGCCCAGCCCTCCCGCCGGCTGCCCAGAAGGTGTCAGGAGAATCAGTCTCAGAGCCATCCACTCACATGCTCCTGAACGCTCCTTGGTGGCCAACGGGAAAGGCCGGAAAATGTGCAGGCTCAGGACCTCCGCGAGGAGCATAATTCACATTCCTTCCCCCGGGTTTCATAACAGAGGCCCGGCTGGTTTCCTTAAATGGGGAATTTGCGAGCCACCCTGTTCCCAGAGCCCAGCTGGCGTGGATGTGCTCGTGCAGAGCCTTCAACGCTGCCACAGGCCCAGCCTAGCTCCACGGAGGAAAATCAACTCCTGAAGCAAAGCCCTGCAGCCTGGTCTCAGCGCGCAGAGGGCAGAGGCTGGCTGCGGTTGTGGTTGTGTGTTATTTTAGGGAAGGGCCATTTTGCATCTTAAAGAGGGGGTTGGGTTTCAGCCCGGCTTTAACTCGAGACCCAGGAGCCACTGCAGCCCCTCATGGGCTGGGACAGGCCCGGGCCACCCCCCAGCACTGGGCTGATGTCTTCCCGGCCCCGGGTCCTCAGGGCCAGAGAGTCCTCCCTGGAGCCCGCTCTGCTGCCCAAGTGGGCACCTGGTGCTGGGAGCGGAGGTGCCTCCCCAGCCTCGCCGGGACACCTGCCCTTTGCCACCTGTGCTGCTGAACCTGACCAAGTCCAGGCCCTGGGGTCTGTGGTCCTCCTGGCTATGGGGCTCTTGGTCACGTGCACCCTGAGGTTGACGTTCAGACTGAGAACCTTCCTTCCTGATGACGTAGCAGGGGCAGTATCCCCTCATCTAAGGAGGGACCCTAGTTGTGAGGCACAAAGGCTGCATCACCAGAGGACAGACACACGGAGACAACAGAGGTTCCAACAGGGCCGGGAGGAGGCAGTGATGCTCCCTGCAGACACGAGTGTGTGGCCAGGACAGAGAACGAAGCCCCCTGTCCCCGCTCTCAGGACTCAGCTTGAACTCACGGCAAGGACCACCGCCAGGCCAGTGTTCAGCAGAGTGGGGCGCTGCCCATGGTGCCTGTGCACTGGCCTGGAGTCTTTCCCTCCTGGGCAACGGTGTCTAAGGGGACGGAGCGGACACTGCTAACCTCGATCACACCACAGACGAAGCTGGGACCAGAGTCCAGCGTTCTCACCGCCATTCGATCTGGTGAGTGGGACACTTAGCACCACCACTTCGCTCCGTCACGCATCAGACACATCACTGGGGCGGCGGGAGATGTGGGGGAGAGGCTGGGGCCTCAGATATCCTGCCCAGGGCATCAACACCAAAGTCAACTCTACCTCAGGGGCAGGGGTGTGATCCCAGCAGGATCTGGGGGAAGAATTCAGAGGCAAGATCAGAAAAGATTTCAAACATTTAATAAGAAAAGACAGGGCCAGAGATGGACCAACTCCTAGGGATGCTACAGGCAAAGCCAGCCTGGGTGTGAGCATGAAGACAACTGCTCCCAACCAAGTACCAAGCACCTCCTCACTGAGCACTTCCCAACCAAGTACCAAGCACCTCCCAACCGAGCACTTCCCAACTAAGTACTAAGCATCTCCCAACTGAGCACTTCCCAACCAAGTACCAAGCACCTCCCAACTGAGCACTTCCCAACCAAGTACCAAGCACCTCCCAACTGAGCATCTCCTAACCAAGTACCAAGCACCCCCCAATGGAGCTCACACACACACAAACACTCAGCTTTTAAACCAGCAGCTCCAGAAGGCGCCAGCTATTCCGACATCAGAAGCCAGTCTAGTGTGCTTTCTCAGTCAACACGCCGAGAAGGCCCCCGTAAGGAGGTTTACTTGGCCACCAAAGCGCCCCCCTCACCCAGGGTGCTCCCCGAGCTACCCACGCACCTGCGCTGGCAGGACAGGCCTCTGCCTCCCAAACCTCATTCCACCCACCCCAGGGCGGGCTGAGAGGCCCTTCCATCCTGGGCTGCAGGCAGTGAGGCCAGTGTCACCACCCCTCCAGGGCAGGGGAGGGCACTGCCAGGGGCAACAGCAAGTCAGGGGCATCAGGACCAGAACCCAGAGTCCTATGGTGTTTCTGTTCCAGATGCCCAACAGCTGTTTCTGACACATGAACAGCAGAGGAGTGGGCAGACCCAGCAGTGGGTCGAGCACGGCCAGGAGGCAGGTGCCTAGCTTGATGCAGCCTGGCTCAGAGTGTGTCCTTCCCAGGTGGCAGGAAGAGGGAATAGAGGGCCGAGGGATGACCGAACGAACAGCTACCGCTCATGAAAGTCTGCAATGAGCCTGGCCTGGCTGGGCAGCTCGGTCATCTCCCCACAATCTCTCCATCCCAGCCTTCAACTCTGCACATGTTCTTAGCTTTGCCGCCACTCACAAAACCCCACCTGGAACTCATGGCTGGGCCCTGAGCCTTCGTAGGTCACGTGAGCTCAGCCAGACTGGGAGGCAGGGGGAAGCAGAGGACTTCCAGAAGACACCAGAGAAACCATCTGCAGCAAGTTCCACTTCTGGACAAGGAGTTTCACTTTTTCCCCCCGTTTTCAGCTGATGCAGTCATAAAGGAAGTGAAAGGTGTGAGTTCTACCTGTCAGAGCGCTCGCACCTCCTCGGACACCGTCACACACACATCTGGGACGTTTAGTGATTCGAATCCACGGCCAAGCAGAGGCAGCGAGTTTAAAAAAATCCACAACACAGGGTATCACGGGGAAATGGTTCTCAACAACAACAAATTCTGAAAGCGAACCCATTTAAGACTGCCGCATTTTCTCTAAAAAAGGTACGTGGGCTCAAGTAAGTTCAAGAGAGAAATCACGACCCCACCCACTCGCACCAGGGAGCAGAGGCACTGGGTTTACCCGTGAGCGGGGTCCAAGGCGATGGCCCGCGGCTGGTCCAGGTCCTGCCAGAAGAGGACCTTCCGGGACGTCCCATTGAGATTGGCCACCTCGATGCGATTGGTCTCCGAGTCCGTCCAGTACAGCTTCTTGCCGACCCAGTCGCAGGCCAGGCCGTCGGGCGACACCAGGCCGGAGATGACCACGTTCTGCACGGCAGCCCCCGTCTGGTTCAGGTAGGTCTGCTTGATGGCCTCCTCGCTCACATCCGTCCAGTACACGGCTCCCTTGGAGAACTGGAAATCCACCGCGGCCGCATCCTCCAGGCCACTGACCACAATGGTGGACTCCAACTTGACTCCGCCGGCGTCCACCAGCCGTACGTCCCGGCGGTTGGCAAACAGGAGGAGCGGCGAGGCTGTGGGGGCAGAAGCAAACCGTGAGGACCGCAGGCTGAGCCGCAGGCCGCACAGACCAGGACGGGGGAGGGGGGGCTTGGTGCCTGGACCCCGCCCGGCCCGTGCCCGAGGCTCCCGGTTCCTTCCTTCCATCCCCAGCCACTGCCGGGAAGGCACCTGGGCAGGCCCAGCCACCCATTCAGAGGCTCGTTCAACGCAGCAGACGGCGCTGCAGTTCCTGAAATCACCGTGTCTCCCACCCAGGCCCCTCCTCTGCAGGGTAGGAGGACGCGCGGAGGGTTCGAGGTCAGGACCGTCTCCGGGGCTCCACCACTCCCACCACCACCATCATTATGTCACGTCTACAGTTCTTTGTGGCAGCAGGGACACGGCAAAGATCAAACACAGGGATGTAACAACTACATCCGAGCTGGGCATCCTGACCTCTTGCAAGGAGGAGATGGCCACCAAAGAACTTCTGTCCCTAATCTCACCCCTCCCTGCCCCAGGCAGGTACAGACAGATGATAAAGAGTGCGCATCCTCACAGGCTGACGGCTCTTTGAAGGTCACACACGGCACACAGAGTTGGGCAGGCTCCTCTCTGGGCCCCCTGGGCTCTCGGCACACAGGCCTGGGCTGTGGGTGACAGTTCACCCATTTTACAGAAGGGTAAGACAAGGCTTCGAGAGGAACCAAGTTCAGCAGCACACCAGGTGCCACACTCCGGAACAGGCATCGTGTGCTCGCTGCACAGGTGTATCTAGTTTGTAAAAAGGCATCACTTTTCTGTGTATACGCACTTCAGTAAAAAGGTTTTTTTAATTAAAAATGGAAGTTTCCCTGTTTTCCCAGCTGCTACAATATGCTGAGGGTCCCAGTGGACCCTGCACTCCAGGACGGCTTGTCTGCCCGTCTAAGAACGCCCTGCCCTGCCCAGGGCCAGCACACAGCAGCTGCTCTATAGATACATTTCTTTCTCCCCACTAGCATCCTAATTTCAAGACAGTGAGTCACCTCTGCTCTGTGAGAGGTGAGAAGGGAAAGGGCGGGGCGCCCAGAAGGGTCTGGGTCCCCACTGTCAGCCAGAGGTTCCACAGAGCAGAGTGGCAGTGACACACACCACCGGAGGCGCTGCCGGCAGTCGGGTGCCTTCCGAGGGTCAGAGGCCGGCCGGTCGGAGGACGGTGGGCAAGGGGGTGACACCCAGGATCAGGGAGGGTCCAGACCTTCAGAGGAGGAAGAATCGTACAGACCAGAGGCAGAGGGCCTTCGCAGGAAGAGTCGTGTGGGATCTGGAGGCCCGTGGACCGAGGCAGAAAAGCTGCTGCAGACACCTCGCAGCACATGCAGGGCGACAGGTGCCCCCAGAGCACCTGCCCATTCATCGTCACCAGGGCCCCGCCGGTCACTGGAGCACAGACGACCAGTAATCCCACCTCGCCTGCGAGGTTCACCGTGCCCGGCCTCCTGAGATTCCTCCCCTCTCATCCGGCGAAGGCAGGACCGGCCCGGGTGGTTCCTAACCTCGGGGGTCACAGAGCCCTCTGATAAGCTGACCCTCTCCCCAGAAGCAGACACAGGCGCGCACACCAAAGCCCCGTGACGTTCCCCCACCAGGATGGACCCAGCTCCCGCCTGAGAACCCCACGCGAAGGCCAGCAGGGAGGACGCTGGCTTCACTCTTCTCTAAACTAGCACCTCTGGACGACAGTGCAAGGGACCATCTCAGGAGGAGGCAAGCTCCCCGCTGCCACAGGTATTCCATTGGGAGTTGGTGGCCACAGGTGAGGGACGAAACTCACCCGGCATCAGCATCAAGAGATGGATGGCCCCGCAGACAGCAGTCTCCAATCAGAGGCGTTCCGGCCCCCAGGGGAAGCGCTTTGGAGGGAGGTACCCACGGGGCGAGTCGCCAGTCCCAGCTGTTGGCCAGACACCCAGTAAGTTAACCCTTCCCCGCAGCCGAAGTCCCAGAGGCCAGAGAGCCTGGGCTGGGGGAGAATCAGGAGGCGGGAGCCCTGGAAGCTGCCCCCGCACAAAAAATCCTAATTCTGCTCTGCTCTTTCTCCCCAAACTGGAAAGACCACATTTTCCCCGCAGTTTACACTCTGGGCAGTTCAGGTGCACCCTTCAAAGGCCACAGGTGATGGGGGGTGGATTTCAATTTCCTGCGCTTTTCCCAAACTGAGACTCCTAGGAGGGCCAGGGCGGGCAGGCTCTCTCCAGGAGAAGCCACTCCTGCTTCGAAGACATCTAGAAACTACCACACACTCAATTCCTAAGTTTGAAGAGACACCCACTTCACTCTCCGGTTACCCTGGGGACTCATGGCGATGGGGGCCTCTTGTGGGGGGCTGCCCCCCCAGCTGGCACCTACCCTCCCAGTGCCCCTCCTAGGGCTTGGGGAGCCCCGGCTGATGCGGCCCCAAGCCTACCAGGGGCCACGGGTACCCTGGCTCATCTGGGAGATGTGGCCGCCTGGGGCCCCTCCTTCCCCACGGGAGGAGGGAGGCTGGGGAGGCGGGCAGGATTAGAGTGGCCAGCTGAGGGGCTGGCGTCAGGACAGGCTATCCTGAGGAGTGATGCACTGGGCTGAGACCGCGACAGAGCCAGCCAGTGGGCAGGCAGCGGGGTGTCGTGTAGCACATGCCAGCCTGGCTGGGACACACAACCGAACCAAGAACCCACCCTCGTGTCCTGTATGACGTGGGGGGAAAAGACAACAGGCGACCCACATGATGGGTAAGGCGATGTCAGTTATGCCTCACAACATCGATGCTGCGGTTTGCAAAACAGAGCAGGGTAAAGGATTGGGGAGTGGGGTCTGCCGTTTCACGTAAGATGGTCAGGGTGGCCTCACTGAGAAAGTGACACCTGGACAAAGACTTGAAGGGGGCAGCGAGAGAGGGCCGGATGGAGGGCATCCTGGCAGAGGGGATGACCAGTGCAAAGGTCCTGGGGCGAAGCACGCAGGAAGCGGCAGATGGTCCTCTGTGCTCCTTCCCGAGGTGACACGCCCACGGGCCCAAGACCCTGTAGGTCAAGGGGTTCAGGTGTGTATCTCCCAGGTGAGGAGACTGCAGCTCTTGGAAGGGTGCTTTGACCTGCCCCAGGTTACTCCAGGGATGATCTCTGACCAGTGGCCCAAGCTTTTGGGGCAGTGAGGAGAAGAAACAAGCAGTGTGAGGAGGGAGAGGAGTGCAGGGCAGAGGGGCTGAGAGCTGGACCGGCAGCCCAGCCGCCACCGGCAGCCCAGCCGCCACCGCACCCCAGGACTCACGCGGGGTCACCTGGCCACCGCAGATGCGGGAACAGCCCTTAACAGCCCTTAATAACCGCGGTATCTGGTATTAAGGACCATAAAACGTTTAAACCCTCTCCCTAGAGACGGGCCCCACAGGACCTTATCCCAAGGAACACCTGAAGGAAGGAAAAGGTCCTAGACACAATATTCGCTGCAGCCTTCCTTATAATAAGAAAAATAAACAAATAAAAAATCTCCAACATTGGGGTACCTAGTCTGTTCTCTCAGTAGAAAGTTGTGTCCATTAAAGTAGTAAGAAAATGACTGCAGTGACACCAGAAAATGTGTAAGAAACGTTAAGTCAACACACAACGTAGCTATAAACCCCGATCTGTACTAGAACTGCGTGTATGAGAAGGTGCTAGGTGGGGATGAAGATTGAAGAAAGGACTGCGTGATGAAAGATGACTTTGTTAAGCCTCTGGATAAATATCTTGAAATGTTTTAACCCCAGGTTCCATTTATGCTGCTATGACATTCTCTGTGCAAGTTCTTTTTTTTCAGGACCACGTATCACAAGGGTACACAGACCGGGTCGCCCCCCCCCCCCCAAGTGAGCAGCCTGGAGCCAGCTCAGGGGCACGGCTCAGATCTGGGCCTCTCTGAGCTCAACGTCCTGTGAGATGGGGGTCCTCACTGCACCCCCACCTCAGAGACTGTGAGGCTTCAACAGAGCAATTCATACAAAGCCTCAGCCCAGTAGCAGCACATTTCAGGCACTCAGTGAACACCAGCCGGGGCAGCACCTGTGCTTGTAGTTCATTAAGAGTTTCTTTCATCCAGTCCCGGGCCGGTCCTGCTACACAGGAAAGCACGTCAGCTCAGACTCTCATTCAAACCCCAGCCTGGCCTCCAGCTGCGAGATTTGGGGCCAGACTTTTTATCTCTGCTCTGAGCCTGTTTCCTCATCCATCCAGCAGGAAATGGTAACGACTTAAAAGGTGCCGCTGGCTGCTGTGGGGCTGCAGTGCAGAGCACCCGGCAGGTCCTCAAAAAGTTACCTGTCGAGGGGCTTCCCTGGTGGCGCAGTGGTTAAGAATCCGCCTGCCGATGCAGAGAACACGGGTTCAATCCCTGGTCTGGGAAGATCCCGCACGCTGCGGAGCAACTAAGCCCATGCGCCACAACTAGTAAGCCTGAGCTCTAGAGCCTGTGCGCCACAACTACTGAGCCCGTGAGCCACAACTACTGAGCCCGTGAGCCACAACTACTGAGCCCGCGGCCTAAAGCCCGCGCTCCGCACCGAGAGAAGCCAACACAATGAGAAGCCCGTGCACCACAACGAAGAGTAGCCGCTGCTCACCACAACTAGAGAAAGCCCGTGCGCAGCAAGACAGACCCAACGCAGCCAAAAATAATTAACTTTTTAAAAAGTTACCCATGAGCTACCACGTGACCCAGCAATTCCACTCCCAGGTGTGTACCCAAGAGAACTAAGAGGACTCAAATAAATACTTGTCCATGCATGGTCACAGCAGCATGATTCACAGTCGCCCAAAGGCAGAGGTAGCCCATATGTCCATCCATGGACAAATGGATAAACAAAACGTGCTCTATCCATACAATGAAATATAATTCAGCCGTAAAAAGCCGTGAAGGACCGACACAGGCTACAACATGGACGAGCCCTGAAAACACGGTGCTCCAGAAGAAGACAGACACAAAAGGCCACACAGCACAGGATTCCAGCCACATGAAATGCCCCAAACAGGCA